ACTTCGGCTTAGCGAAATGGGGCAGAAGCTCCTGTTCCTGCTTCAATCTACGTGGCCTGGTGCAAACACTCATTTCCTGCTTGTTCTCATGAGAAAACTGAAAGGAGAGGAAAAATGAGTTGGGGCTGGTATGAAATGCATACAGAATTCTACCAGGTGCCAGCCCACTGGTTAGGTGGGGAGAGAAAATGGCAAAAATTTAATTAGAAATGCAGGATTCTTATCTCTTAATTTTTCCTAAGAGTAAACATAATAATAATAATAAACATGGACTTCATTTTACCTTAGATCCTGTTTTAGTATTTTGCAAATAAGGATTACTTCCATACACTGTTTTTCCATACAACCCCCACCCCTCTGGGGAAGTCCAGTTCCAATGCAATTTCATCAGCCCCCCAAAAATGAAGTGCAAGTTATATTTGTCTACTTGACTGAGAAGTAAATCAGCTTCTGATGGAAGGTTATTTTCCATAAAGTGTGGAACCAAAAAGCCTGGGGCCTTTCAGTTGGCAAAGGCCAATGACATCAAATTTCTCAGGCTTCTTCCCTGTCTGCTAAAGTAACAAAGGCAGGATTTTTCCCTCTTTATTTTCTTTGAACTGAATAGTTGTCAGGTCAGACCAGCTCTTACAATCAGAGTTTCTATAATAACCAAGACAAGGAAAAATCTTGCAAATCAGTGTGAATCCAAGAGATTTGTTAAATTAATTTCCCCTCAGGTTTTTTTTTCCCCTCCCTCTATGCTATAGGAATATATTAAGCAGTGGGACAGAATGCTATTTCCATCTATACCCCATATCATTTTATGGATGTGGGATTTTTATGTTGTGCAGGTGTGTGAGAGCAGAAGAAATGAATTAGCAGATATTACATCTCAAGTCGAGTTCCATTATTTAATGGAAAATAAATAAGATGAAATACTTACCTTAATTCAAAATTTGGAATGTCTATCATCTTTGCTAATAAAGAAAATTCATCTATTATTTTGAAACAGGATTTTTTTTTTTTTTTGCAAAATTATCTTGGCTTACTGTTAATATGGCTTAGAGAGCAGCATTTAGAATTACTTCATGTACTACAAAGCCAGCAGAGGGAACACTGAGTACTGATTTAGTAGGGGCCACCAAATATCTGGTATTTGGGAAAAAAATGTTAGTAATGGAAAAACTGGTTACAAAGCATGTGAAGTTAGGTAATGAGAACAGAGAAATCTTTTCTCATTATTTGCTATTGAGACCTCATACATTCCAGTGTGCACATACCCAGTTGGTGAGAAAGCTGTCTTTAATAAAAGGCCACTTGTCACATGTTTTCTTACGTTTTAAGAGGGCTACTAACACGTAAGAACTAACCTACTTCAGAAGTCTAAGCATTCATATATACTGTAATAATCTTTTATGTCAATGGAAATTACTAATACCAAATTTCTTCAATTCTAAGAGGAATTTTTTCTTTTCAGATGTCTTTACAACCATGGGGATGTCAGTTTCACTGGCAGTTGTTCTCCCTTAATAGCATGTGGCCATGGTATGTCTGAAAGACATCAGTTAAATTTGTTGAAATATAGAAAATATACCTAACAATAGAAATAGGCCAGTGGCTATTTTTTAGTACACAAATAAAAAAAAAATCTGCATGCTTTAAACATAAACAAAATCATTCTGAATGCTTTAACTTTCACTTTTCTCTGATCTCATTCACTGGTAGAATCACAAATGGCTTTGGAAATATAATCAATGATACTGATTATATTATTCACTCACTTTGAAACATCACAAACTTAGTCACACCCTCAGATTATTAGTTACTACAAATCTCAAAATAAACATAGTATTTATTCTTTTTTTATTCTGGTAAAAATATGGATTTTTAAAATAAATAATAGACCTCTTAAGAGAATTTTTATGTCAGATTGAGAACATGCAGGGCTATGTTATAGTATGAATAACAAATAAAATGATGACACACCTAGCTTTGTTAGATGCAAAAGAGGTGCCTGTGGGTTTTTTGTTTTCAAGATTTGTTTCCCCTTCTAAAAGAAAAAATATATAACTTGGGTAGCTGCTGGTCAAAATTATTTGCTTCTACCCACAAAATCATTCTTGTTTGTGGTTGATCCTTAGAGATCCAGTCAGATGTCGCCAAAGGGTGTTCTTTCCAGTAAAATTCTACATCTGACAACCTGGGCCTCTCCCCAGCCTACATACTCTCAAAGTTTGACAAGATAAATAGAAATCTGCTGCCCAGCACTAGTTTGATCGGAATTGAAAGCTGATTTAATTATGTTAGGTTAGCCCTACCTAACCACTTATCACTAGCTTATAGAAAAAGTTTTACTATTATGGTTTTAAGGAAGACCAATCTTTATTATAATTTTAATTTTCATACCTTAGAACAAAAGAGATGTCTGGGGCCAAATTAACATGCATTCTGACTACCTGGGAACTTTTTTTTGCCACATTCTTCACAATGCTCTTCATGAGGCTTCTTTTCAAATCATCAGGATGACTGGGTTGCCACTGTGGTCCTTGGATGGTTCACATCCATGATCTGTGATAATTTTTTCACATCAGTGACCACCCTTGATTTTAGTCTCTTGAACAACATGCTGCTTCTACTAGTGGGAATGTCTCTGGAATCTGAATTATCATGAAGGATAATATCGTATTCACTGAGGGCTTACTATACATCAAGCTCACTGAACTCCCACAAAACACTGTATAAAGTAGTTCCTGGTGTTCCCATATCACTGATGAGGAAAACTGAGACTTGGTCACATCCCCAGGGTCACAAGACTAGTAAGAAGGACTAGCAGCCAGGTCTTATATAAATTCAGAGGTTCCATTCTTTTTTGCTACTAGTTATCACTGCCTTTCACACTCACAGTGTCTCTTTGCTTTGGCCTTTTAATTCCATTTGATTGAAGTAGCAAACATATAGGAGAAAATATAAAGGAGAGGAGGAGGGTTTGGGGAAGAGAGGATGAAGCATGAAGATATCTTTAATTTTGACAATGTGGAAAACTAATACTTAAAAAGTAAAACTGATTCCCATCCTTTACTCACCATTATCATCTTACATAAAACTATGGAAATTCTCCTATTAACTATGGAACACTGCCTATTGTGTTCCAGTGGAAAGCTCCTCTGTCTGGGCTACCCAGGATTTATGACTGTGTGCTGTGCTGTGTGCTCACTCGTGTCCAGATCTTTGCAACCCTGTGGACTGTAGCCCATCAGGCTCCTCTATCCATGGGATTTTTCCAGGCAAGAATACTGGAGTGGATTGCCATTTCCTCCTCCAAGGGGATCTTCCTGGCCCAGGGATGGAACCCAGTCTCCCTTGTCTCCTACATTATCAGGCAAATTCTTTACCACACTGCACCACTAGGGAAGCCCATCCAGGATTCAAAGGGGAGTTTAAATCATTCAATAACTATAGTTAACCCCTGTTTGGTTAAGAGAGCAAGTAATTATTGCCCCCCCAAATCCTCTTTTCTGCCTTCCACAAACAGCACCAAAATAGCTCTGAAGGGATTAACACAATACATCAACATCTGTGCTGTACCTGGAATTGCTAAAATAATATAGTGATGACAGGTGTCTAGGTACCACTTTCTTAATGGTTTTCAATATCTATTGATTTATTTTCATGGCTTTCCCTCCCTCTTTTACATCCTTGGCTTTATGAAGGAGCCAAGGAACAGATTTTGCACTAAAGGCTGATTCTCTATTCCAATACTGAAAAGAACTAATAAAAATAATCACTTGGCTTTTAAGCAGAAAGCTTCCATTTACAGTATTTCACCCTTCCCCCCCTTCTAAGCCCCTTGTTATCTAACATAATGGTTAGAATACATTTCCGTCTCTCCCCTTAATAATTTCATGCATTAACATCCTCTTCACACACCACACACACACACACACACATACACACACACACACACACACAGGCACGCACAGCTAAAGGAAAAAAGAGGCAGCAGAAATCTCAGCTGTACTTCTAGCCCTTTTAAAAAGTTTGCTCTGTAAATTGGAATGAGGTCAGATTTGGAGCTTCTCATTGCACGCGGAGATTATTATTGCATCGGGTTCCAAGCCAATGGGAAGCCCGGAGGAGGGGCTTGGCACGAGGAAGCGTTGGTTACAGCGGCTGATTGGCCGCGGCCAAGACTGGGAAAGGATAAAGAGGCGCGAGGCGGAATTGGGGTCCGCTCTAAGCTGCAGCAAGGGAAACCGTGTGTGAGAGGAAGAGGCCTGTTTCGCTCCGGGTCTCTAGTTCTTGCACGCTCTTTAAGAGTCTGCACTGGAGGAACTCTGCCATTACCAGCTCCCTTCTTGCAGGAGGGAGGGGAAAACATACATTTATTCATGCCAGTCTGTTGCATGAAGGCTTTCTGGCGTCCTACCTTGCAACAAAATAGTTGCACAAACTCCTTAGTGCCGATTCCGCCCACAGAGAGTCCTGGAGCCAGAGCCTTTTCTGCTTTGCATTGTAAGAGAGGGACTAACTGATAGAGACTATGTCGCTTTCCTGAGCTTCTGAGAGCGCTCACGAACTGGAATCAACTGCTTCAGGGGAAGGAAAAAAAAAAAAAAAAAAGACTTGCCTGGGAGGCGGCGAGAAACTTGCATTGGAAGCTTCAGCAACCAGCATTCGAGAAACTCCTCTCCACTTTAGCACCGTCTCCAGGACGCAGAGCCGAGAGACAGCGCAAACTGCGGCGCGGTGAGAGAGAAGAGGGAGAGAGAAGGAGATTCTCCAGCCTGGGAACTATAACTCCTCTGCAAGAGGCGGAGTGCTCCCGCCTCGCATCTTTTTGGAGACTTTTCTCTCTTCGCCCACCTCCGCCCCGGCCAGGAGTTGAGCCGCCCGCTCGACCGCCGCGCACGTTCCCCCGCTCAGCGTGCGCTTGGTCCCGGGAGCCAGGAGGGCCCGGCGATCGCGCCGCGGCCGCCGCGAGGGTGTGAGCGCGCGTGGGCGCCCGCCGAGCCGGGGCCATGGTGCAGCAAACCAACAACGCCGAGAACACGGAAGCGCTGCTCGCCGGCGAGAGCTCGGACTCGGGCGCCGGCCTCGAGCTGGGCATCGCCTCCTCCCCCACGCCCGGCTCCACCGCCTCCACGGGCGGCAAGGCCGACGACCCGAGCTGGTGCAAGACGCCGAGTGGGCACATCAAGCGGCCCATGAACGCCTTCATGGTGTGGTCGCAGATCGAGCGGCGCAAGATCATGGAGCAGTCGCCCGACATGCACAACGCCGAGATCTCCAAGCGGCTGGGCAAACGCTGGAAGCTGCTCAAAGACAGCGACAAGATCCCTTTCATTCGGGAGGCGGAGCGGCTGCGCCTCAAGCACATGGCTGACTACCCCGACTACAAGTACCGGCCCAGGAAGAAGGTGAAGTCCGGCAACGCCAACTCCGGCTCCGCGGCCGCCGCCGCCTCCAAGCCCGGGGAGAAGGGCGACAAGGTCGGTGGCAGCGGCCACGGGGGCGGCGGCGGCGGGGGCGGCCACGCGGGGGGAGGAGGCGGCGGCGGCGCGAGCGGCGGCGGCGCCAACTCCAAACCCGCTCAGAAAAAGAGCTGCGGCTCCAAAGTGGCGGGCGGCGGGGTCGGCAAGCCCCACGCCAAGCTCATCCTGGCAGGCGGCGGCGGGAAGGCGGCGGCGGCGGCCGCCTCCTCCTCTTCCTCTTCGTCGTCGTCGTCCTCGTTCGCCGCCGAGCAGGCGGGGGCCGCCGCCCTGTTGCCCCTGGGCGCCGCCGCCGCCGCGGCCGCCGACCACCACTCGCTGTACAAGGCGCGGACTCCCGGCGCCTCGGCCTCGGCCTCCGCGGCGGCCTCGGCTTCGGCCGGCCTGGCGGCGCCGGGCAAACACCTGGCGGAGAAGAAGGTGAAGCGCGTCTACCTGTTCGGCGGCCTGGGCGCGTCGTCCTCGCCCGTCGGCGGCGTGGGCGCGGGCGCCGACCCCAGCGACCCCCTGGGCCTGTACGAGGAAGGGGGCGCCGGTTGCTCGCCCGACGGGCCGAGCCTGAGCGGCCGCAGCAGCGCCGCCTCGTCGCCGGCCGCCGGCCGCTCGCCCGCCGACCACCGTAGCTACGCCAGCCTGCGCGCCGCCTCGCCCGCCCCGTCCAGCGCGCCCTCGCACGCGTCCTCGTCGGCCTCCTCGTCGTCGTCGTCGTCCTCGTCCTCCTCGTCCTCGGGTTCGTCGTCCTCTGACGACGAGTTCGAGGACGACCTGCTCGACCTGAACCCCAGCTCAAACTTTGAGAGCATGTCCCTGGGCAGCTTCAGCTCGTCGTCGGCGCTGGACCGGGATCTGGATTTTAACTTCGAACCCGGCTCCGGCTCACACTTCGAGTTCCCGGACTACTGCACGCCCGAGGTGAGCGAGATGATCTCGGGAGACTGGCTGGAGTCCAGCATCTCCAACCTGGTCTTCACCTACTGAAGGGCGCGCGGGCTGGGAGAGAGAGGGACGGGACGGGGCGGGTGGTGGGGTGGGGGGAGGACCAGAGAGGAAAATGAAAAAGGAGAAAAAAAAAAAAAAGCGGACAGAGAAAAGAGTTGCAAGAGAAAAGGGAAAACAAGAGGGGGAAAAAAAAAGAAAAAAGGAAAAGGAGGAAAAAAAAAAAAAAGAGGAGGGCCGGCTTCGGCCGCGTCCGGGTGGTCGGAGAGCAACGCCACGGCGTCTGGGGACCCGCGCTCCCAACCCCCATCTTGCCGGCCGGAGGGACGCGGCGGAGGCGGAGGTAGACAGGGGCGACCTTTTATTGTTGTTCTTGGTGTTGTTGATGGCGAAAAAAAGCGACTTCGAGTTTCCTCCCCATTGCTGGAAGAGACCCCCCACCACCACTACCAGCCCTTCCAACGAGCTTCCGGACTTGTCGGCGCCCCCGGCCAGAAGCCGAGTTGGTAGTTTGCTAGCGACTGAAGGAATCGTCTATTCCTGTCTCATCGCTCCCTCGGTGTTTTGGGGCTATTTTACTTGGTTTTTTGTTTTTTTGATCCCGAGGGGAGGGGGACTCCGACATGCCCCCGGAGGGGTTTTGTTCTCAGCATCCCCGCCCCCATCCTTTCCCCCCACCCCCCCACCCCCGCAAGAAGACCGAAGGCTCCGGGGCTTCGAATTTGACCGGCTGCACGTTTTGCGGGGAGAGGGGAGTCGCAAGGGCCCCAGCGTCAGGACTGAGAGACTCCACGCTGGCGAATTACCGTTTTGTTTTTGGAGGGCTTTCCCCCCGCCCCTCCCCCGCCTCCCTCCCCCCTTCCTTTTTTTCTTTCTCCCCCCCCACCCCGCCCCTGCAGCCAGAGGAGGAGACGTTGAGTGACCGGCGCTCGGAAATGACCCGAGAACCTAGTTGGAAAGCCACACTAGCCAGGACGAGGGGCGGGGAGGAGAAGGCCACGAACTGGAAGGGGGGCGAGTAATAAAACTGAAATGGATTTGCACGTTCGGGAGAAGGTGGCGGCGTCTCCTGGGCCTCCGCCTCCTGCATCTCTGAAACCTGTGAGGTGAGACTTCACGGCCCCGCAGGCGCGGAGGAGAGGAGACTGTTTGATGTGGTACCCGGGGCAGTGGAGGGCGAGTGGTGTCGGGGGGGGAAAAACAAGGTTTTTTGCTTCTCTTAATCGGAATCGTGATGGTGTTGGATTATTTCACTGGTGGGGTTAATATAGCATGTTATCCTGTCTATCTTTTAAAGATTTCTGTATTAAGACTGTTGAGCAGTTTTTAAAATAGTGTAGGATAATATAAAAAGCAGATAGATGGCGCTATGTTTGATTCCTACGACAGAAATTATCACCAGCTTTTTTTCATTCTTAACTCTTTAAAGGATTCAAACGCAACTCAAATCTGTGCTGGACTTTAAAAAAACCAATTCAGGACCAAATTTTTTCTCAGTGTGTATGTGTTTATTCCTTATAGGTGTAAATGAGAAGACGTGTTTTTTTCCCTCACCGATGCTCCATCCTCGTATTTTTTTTTCCTTGTAAATGTAATCAGATGCCATTTTATATGTGGACGTATTTATACTGGCCAAACATTTTTTTTCTTATTTTGTCCCTTTTTTTAAAATTTCTTTTGCTTTGCTTTCTTTTTACTTCCTTATTTCCTCCTTCCTTACTTTATTTTTTGTTTCGTTTCTTTTCCTTTTTTTTTTTTTTTTGGTAGTTGTTGTTACCCACGCCATTTTACGTCTCCTTCACTGAAGGGCTAGAGTTTTAACTTTTAATTTTTTATATTTAAATGTAGACTTTTGACACTTTTAAAAAACAAAAAAAGACAAGAGAGATGAAAACGTTTGATTATTTTCTCAGTGTATTTTTGTAAAAAATATATAAAGGGGGTGTTAATCGGTGTAAATCGCTGTTTGGATTTCCTGATTTTATAATAAGGCGGCTGGTTAATATCTCACACAGTTTTAAAAAATCAGCCCCTAATTTCTCCATGTTTACACTTCAATCTGCAGGCTTCTTAAAGTGACAGTATCCCTTAACCTGCCACCAGTGTCCATCCTTCGACCTCAGCCCTATAAAAAGGAGAGGAGATTTAGCCAAACACTGTATGCTTTTAAGAAACGAGTTTTTTTAAACAAATACTGTTTTATGCAGAGGCTTTAAAACTGGTGCATTTACAGCAAAAAGGGATCCTGTAGCTTTAACTTGTAAACCACATCTTTTTTGCACTTTTTTTATAAACAAAAACGTGCCGTTTAAACCACTGGATCTATCTAAATGCCGATTTGAGTTCGCGACACTATGTACTGCGTTTTTCATTCTTGTATTTGACTATTTAATCCTTTCTACTTGTCGCTAAATATAATTGTTTTAGTCTTATGGCATGATGATAGCATATGTGTTCAGGTTTATAGCTGTTGTGTTTAAAGATTGAAAAAAGTGGAAAACATCTTTGTACATTTAAGTCTGTATTATAATAAAGCAAAAAGATTGTGTGTATGTATGTTTAATATAACATGACAGGCACTAGGACGTCTGCCTTTTAAGGCAGTTCCGTTAAGGGTTTTTGTTTTTAAACTTTTTTTTGCCATCCATCCTGTGCAATATGCCGTGTAGAATATTTGTCTGAAAATTCAAGGCCACAAAAAAAACAATGTTTGGGGAAAAAAAAAAATCATGCCAGCTAATCATGTCAAGTTCACTGCCTGTCAGATTGTTGATATATACCTTCTGTAAATAACTTTTTTTGAGAAGGAAATAAAATCAGCTGGAACTGAACCCTAAATCTTGACTTTTGTCATTATTATGCCCAAAGCCTAAGATTGGAAGGGCACTATAGCTTGTAGAAACGGTGACACCATCTGCCCTAGCTTTGAAACAAGTGAGTTCTCAGGCCTGTTACATGCCATCTAATTGAGGAATAAATCCTCCTAAATTCCATCTCACTCAGATTGGGCAGGCACTAACCCTGAAACCAAGGGTCAACTCTACATGCTTTCAAGGAATTTTCTGAGTTTACCCCCATTTAAATCAACACCCCTTGTCTTGAAATTTTAACAAGAAGGGGAGGGGTAATGACAGAATTCTTTACAGATAAAACCAGGTCCTAAAACTGCTTTCTCCTGGATTTGCCTAGATTTACCATCCAGCAACAGCTAGAATTGTTTCTCATGGAATAGGAGCAAAAATGTTGTTAAATTATCAATATATTGTGGTGAAAGGCATTACCTGTTAAGAGAGAAAAAGTTATATCAATTTTTTTCCTCGAAAGCAAGAAGCTTCACGTGGTGACAAAATCTGGGCCATGACCAATGTGGTTATTCCTGTCAGTGAAGAAGAAAAAGTACCTTGAATTTCCTAAGGCCTATTAGTATTTGGTTTGGAGCCTGCAGTTTGCTAAGAGGCACTATTTCCTGTTTACTTTGAGGGTTAACAATTGCTATTAACTAACAAAGCCCATCTTCCCTTCCAAGTGTTTAAAATATCTGCTTTATATGTCTTCCGGTTTTCCAGCACTGGAGAGGAGGGGTTAATAAGACCTATGTGGAAATAACTCTAAATCATCAAGATTGCTTGTAGGAAAGGAAATCTCCATCCTAGAATGTACAGGTGGATGAAGAGATTTTTGGAGACCAAAACAAGCAATTTTTTCTGGTCAGTGAAAAGCAATAATTCCACCCTCCAAAATAATGTAACTATTGCATTTCAGTGTAATTTCATCATTCAAAGATCATTTTAACTACTAGAGTCCAAATTTTTCTTACATGTATTCACTAATATATTTAGTTTTAATTGCACTTGTGTTCTGTAATTATGTTGTTTTTTATTAAATTAAAAAACCAACTTCGAATCTTTTATTCTCTTCAAAGACTTTTGCCTTTTCAAAGACTCTTCTAATTGCTTTTTGTTCACGGTACTGATAATGACTTTACTTTTTTCAGGTCCAAAATATGAAAATCTTGACATAAATGAAGACTGTGATATTTTTAAGTATATTTTATTTCATAGGGTTCTCCTGCTAGAACTGTATTTATTGCCCCTTGACTTTCCATGTAAGGGCAGATACTTTAACTGTTTTCTTTAAGAATTTTGATAACATTGCTTTAAAAACGAAAGCTTAAAACGTGTGATCTTCCTAGAAGGTGATAGAGTAAATGTAGGAGACATTTTTGTACTTCCTTTCCTCTGAATCAGTCTTTATTCATAAGGAACACTTATGTATTAGGTGGTAGAAAGGAATAATAAATCTGATAAACCAGACAGTTTAGGATGACTTTAACTTTCAGATAATTTGGATCAATAGAAGAAAATAAATTTCAGATTTTAAGAATAAAAGCCATTTTTATATAAAAATACACTGTTCTGGCCCTGGGCTTGATTAGAAATACGAATTAGTAAAAGTTGATAAGTAGATTTTGTCAGTTGTAGTTGATTAACCTGTAAGTGCCAAGAAAAAAAAAATTAAGCTGGTAGGGTGGGCTGAGTGCCTAAATTTTGTGCTCCTATTTGGGGGGGCGGGGGGGCGGGGGGGTGGGCAAGGATACTGGAGGTATTAAGGATTTCCAAGGAAAATGGGAAAGCAAAGGACTGGAAGTGGACAGACACATTTACCAAGTCTCCCCTGGGTTTATGGGGTGTCCATGAGTCAGAACACCTGGTTTGGATAATGAATACTAGGGTTCCAGAATATTTAATCATAAATTTAAAATAATTTATTTTAAAGGAGCATTGGGATAGATCCAAATGTCAAGAAAACACTTAAGAATTCTGGTAGGAATACAAATCCATCTTACCCGTTAGGATTTCTCAGAGTGGAAGGTTGGTAGGCTTTGTTTTTCTTTGTGGTTATTCGTTTTAAGCCTTTTATTTTTTTCCTCCTCTGAGTCCTGTACTGCAGTGCCTCTCTCACCCATATTTGCTAATGTTCACCCTACCCCTCTGGGCTTCCCTGGTGCCTCAGCTGGTAAAGAATCTGCCCGCAGTGCAGGA